GGTAGGCGTTTTGATTTTTTGAAAGAAGAATAAAGTAATTGTTTTTACATTAAATAAAGGCAAATACCTTAACAAGTTTACGATCACTTTCTTTATAAAAAATATAGAATATTTCTATATAAAAACATGAAAGGAAACTAACTTCGGAAAGAGGAAGTTTATATACTATTTCAGTTTGCAAATTAATTATAGGATCGTATCGGAAATCAATCATAATTAAGCTTAAAATATTTGCGTTTTTTAATATATACTTATAGCTATTTTTATTTGACAACTTTTAAGACTAATAAAAGCTTAAAATATTCAAACCTCAGCCAAAAAGGCATTAATTTTAATTCGCGTTCCTATGTTAATTTTTAGCAGGTCAATAAAACTGCCTATGATTTATAGGGTCGGAAATGAGTCCTTCACTATCTTTTAGGCTTCTGACTGAAGGTGCAATATCATTTTTAATTGATATTTAAATTTTTATATGCAAATTTTGTCGACAAACCAAAATTTAAAAAATTTATAACTAAGGCAAAAAGGCATTAATTCTAATTCGGAAAGCGTTCTTGTTAATTTTTAGGAGCTCAAAGCTATGAGAATCGCATAGGAGGCTGACTTGCTACCAGAACGCTCTCCTCTGCGATTCTCAAAACTTATACGTAAGCAAGGCTCTAGCTAGAGGAAGTTTAGTTTTCTTCTTCTTCTTTTTGTGTGTTTTTATATAAATTACTAATCTTGTGCTTGGTGGTTGATAGAATTTATCAAACGGAGATGGCAGCCATACAAATTATGGTTTTCTTAATTAAGGTAAGACGTTAATACAATATCTTGATAATTGAAACCAAAACAAGCCCCACAAAAGTCAAGATACCTGAAAATATGAGAATCGCATAGGAGGGTGGCTTGGTACCTAGAGCGCTCTCCTCTGCGATTCTCAAAACTTATACGTAAGCAAGGCCCTAGCTAGAGGAAGTTTAGTTTTCTTCTTCTTTTTGTGTGTTTTTATATAAATTACTAATCTAGTGCCTGGTGGTTGATAGACTTTGATCAAATGGAGGTGGCAGCCATACAAATTATGGTTTTCTTAATTAAGGTAAGACGTTAACAAAATATCTCTTAATAATTGAAACCAAAACAAGGCCCACAAAAGTCAAGATACATGAAAATATGAGAATCGCATAGGAGGGTGACTTGCTACCAGAGCGCTCTCCTCTGCGATTCTCAAAACTTATACGTAAGCAAGGCTCTAGCTAGAGGAAGTTTAGTTTTCTTCTTCTTTTTGTGTGTTTTTATATAAATTACTAATCTTGTGCTTGGTGGTTGATAGAATTTATCAAACGGAGATGGCAGCCATACAAATTATGGTTTTCTTAATTAAGGTAAGACGTTAATACAATATCTTGATAATTGAAACCAAAACAAGCCCCACAAAAGTCAAGATACCTGAAAATATGAGAATCGCATAGGAGGGTGGCTTGGTACCTAGAGCGCTCTCCTCTGCGATTCTCAAAACTTATACGTAAGCAAGGCCCTAGCTAGAGGAAGTTTAGTTTTCTTCTTCTTCTTTTTGTGTGTGTTTTTATATAAATTACTAATCTAGTGCTTGGTGGTTGATAGACTTTGATCAAATGGAGGTGGCAGCCATACAAATTATGGTTTTCTTAATTAAGGTAAGACGTTAACAAAATATCTCGTGATAATTGAAACCAAAGCAAGGCCCACAATAATCAATATACATGTAAATATGGTTTATATTAAATTATTGTTAAATTACTATACCCTTGGCCCTGTTGACTAGCTTATGGCTCTTTGATCTCGAAACTTTGATCTTTAAACATAAACCCGCTCAAAAAATAAGGATTTTAAGCTTGCTTATATAAGCCCATTTAGGATTTTCTTTTCCTTGTTTGTTTCCTTTCCTTTTTTTCAAAAATGGGAAATTTCTGAAAAATTGTTTTTTTACCCGGAGAAAGCTAGAAAGATTTGCCTGTTGATGGTGATCAAGAATATATATATATATAGGTTTATAGGCTCGGAAATGACTCCTTCACTTTCTTTTAAGCTTCTGACTGAAGGTCCGTTACCATTTTTTAATCGATTTAACTATATTTTAATATGAAATTTTTAAAAATCTCATAACTTAGCCAAAAAGGCATTAATTTTAATTCGGAAAGCGGCTGTATGTTAATTTTTAGCAGGTTAAAAAACTGCATACTCCATTTAAAATGTGAATTTTGGCCGATTTTTGCAAATTTTAATGATGTAACCTCTTTCCTTTTTTTTCAAAAAAATTTATAATTTCTGAAAAAAAACAATTTTTTGACCGGATAAAGCTAGAAAGATTCTCCTGTTGATGCTGACCAATAATATGTATGATTTATGGGGTCGCAAATGACTCCTTCACATCGTCACAAGTTTTTGACTGAAATTATAATACCTTGCCTAGCAAGATAATAAGGATATAATAAGTTTTAAGATCACTTTCTAAATATAAAATATATATCCTTTAATATTATATAAAATATACATGCCTTATATGCCTTTTCCCATCGGGTACTCTATGGTTGTAACAGAGTGCCACCGCTTTCCTTTCCTCTTCCCTTCCCCTCTATTTTTTTTTTTTTTTTTTTTTTTGTGTCAACTTTTGGACACTGTCTCTTCATCCTTGCCGCCCTGCAGCATCCGCAGCTCTCCCATTCGCAGCATCCCCCCTCCTCTACCGCCCCTCTTTTCCCCTGAAGCGTGGCCACCTCTGACCGGAGCTATTTTTGCATACTTTTGTGTGACGCGCAAACAATTTGCATTTTCCATTTTCCTTTTCAGCGTCAAATGAAATGTGCACCACCGGCCAGGACTGGCCTGGGAACTACTATCCTTTTGTGAAGCAGGAAGCATCCTGCCCCTCCATCCTCAGCCAGGAGCTCTGCGCCGATGATTTATTGCACTTTTGACGTTATTGATATTTTATTTGTTTGCAATGAAGTCATTTAGTGCGGTCCGCACGCAGGAAAAGGGATATGATGATGGTTTCCAGCCCCAGAAACAATGATTTATGTGAAGAAAGTGAGGTAAGCTAGAGAAAAGCAGGAATTTCTTTAAACATCTTTACTGAATCTCTCCCATTTTTTTGTTAGCAGAACAATTGAGGTCTTAATTATGGCGTTGACCACGTGAACAAGGATGCTCTTAAGCCTGACTGTTGCTGGACAAATATATTTAAATCATCAACGGTGAGTCCTTAACACACACACACTCTCTCTCCCTCTCTCTCTCTCCTTCCTCTTTTGCTGTCTCTCATAACGCATAATTTAACCGAAAGCGAGCTTCAAGGACCTTTCCCGGGCAAACTGCTAAATGCCAGCCGAGTGGCAAGTGTCCTGCGGAAAGGGGCTTGAAAGCTCCAACGACAAGACTCGAGACAAGTGCCACACACACAGTACACTCAGTTTTTCAGCCTTTTACTTAGGTGTCGTGGCTGCACTTGAGATATATTCGTATCCCTTATGCATATATAAAGATATATTTATATATATCTATGTGTGTGGAGATGCTTTCATCTGTATAGTTTGCCATTGCCAGAAGTGCCTTTTTGGGGGCACTTTCCCGGCCAAGAGCTCGGCACAAATGCATTTTCCTTATTAAGCATACGCCCCGTGTGCCCCTCCCCCAACTGCAACTTAAGTTTTTCATTTAAATTATAGAAAGAGATAGAGAGAGAGGGAGGGAAGAAGAGATAGCTAGCACTTTTCACCTGGCAAATGAATTTTCATTTGCTTTGGCTTTTCAAAAAGGAATGGAATGATAGCAATAGGCAAAGAAAAAAAGAAAGAAAGTGAGTGAGGAAAAGCGGGTGCATGACTCCCAATATAATGCCATTTTTCTCTCTGGCAAAGATCGAAAGAGGTGGAAAATCGAAGGGAGGAAAAGCCTTGCTCAACCGCAGTAACAGCGAAAAGCAATTAAAGCAAGACAAGTTCACCAAAAAGTGTTGCGACCGAAATCAAATGAAACGAGAGAGAGAGCCTCAGAGTCAATTTTTGGTCAGCGCGCTGACATTTAGAGGGGGGGTTAAAATAGGGTTTTAACTGGGCGGGGGAAAAGCTATTAGAGCCAAAACCCCAGTTTGATTGGCAATTGGGGCGAGTGACAACGAGTGTTGCAGCGAAATGAATGAATGGCAATCCTTTCAATATATTCAACCCATTTTTAGGGCCCGGTTTTCTTCCATTTTCCATCAGCAAGCATATTCCTCCAGTAGCATTTTCCAGCATTTTCACAGAGCTTAGACACACACACACACTTGACAACAACAAAATTTATGAGACCGCCGTTCAGCCATCAAACTAATTGAAAAACTAAGCCCGAAACCAACATCAGACAGAGAAGGGGAAGGAAAACTGTGGCACATGCAAACAAAACCCCCCAAATGTTGCACTTAATTGCAACTATCGAAAACTTGGCCCTAATCCGAATCACCAAACTCTGTATCTATCCTTGTGCGTTGCCAAATTGGTTTATACTTGCCCAGGCCCAAGTTTCTTGAGGGGTTTCAGAATGGAGTTGTAAAATACAAGGTTTTTGGTCCCAAAAGTTTCTGTGTAAAAGTCAAAGTCGCAACAAGTCTGTCAAGTCAGACGATGATGCATGTTACCTGCCACCTCCTAAGACCCTTAAACCCCTTCTCAAGAATGTGCTGCCTCTGCTGATTGAAGCAATTATCCCAATTGACATTTTATCCCTACTCATAACTCGAGGATGATGATGATGTTGTATCCAGCCTCCCTCTTTTTTTGCCCTTTTGCTGATTGGTTCCCCTAATTGGCTTCGACGTTTTGCCCTCAATTAGGGCCAATACTTGACTTTTGTGGGGGCGTATGCGTGATATTTGCACACTTAATTAATTAATTAAAACTCAATCGAGTGTCAGTTCTTGTTAAGTTTGTGATTTATAAAATCATTTTTGGTATATATATTGTAATATATTTTAATATATATAAAGATTAGTGGGGGTCTCTGTGTTAGAATTTGTATGCTTAGTGTAGAGTCCAAATATTACATCAAAGATTAAAGTTCAGGTTGGATTTAAGCTTGCTTTAATCAGGGAATTCAATTTCCTAGAAGTTAAGGATTAAATCTCATGACAAGTCGAGACAGAAGATGATTGGTAACCAGGCTCACAAGCTGCTCCACCGAATGGTGAGTGGTCTCCGTTTCCGTTTCCGCTTCCGAAACCAAGTCTGGGTCCTTGTCCTTGTCCAATTGATCTCGTTCCCCTTCATCATCTTCTTCTCCATCTCGATCTCGTTCCCCTTCATCATCTTCTTCTCCATCTCGATCTCTCTCCTTGACTGCCTCTTCAATGACATGCAACAGACGCTGATAGAGAAAAGACTGACGATATATGGGCTTGGATAAGCCCAAATGATCATCGTTTAGTAAATAATAGTCTCCGAAATCAATCTTTGATGACTCCTCTGTGACAATGCGTAGGGGAAACTTGAAGCTAGTGAGCATTGTGGGTGATCCCTCAGCCACGCTGACCACCTTGACGCGATGCAGGAACTTGTGCAGGCAATCCATGAAGCGTCTGTGCATCTCCAGGAGTTTGGGAGCATTCTCTTCCATCTCCTTGACCTCAATGGAAGGTGACAGGATCATTTGCATATGCTGCTTCCACTTGGCAATGGGTGAGCCACGATGTGGTGTGCCCAGAAAGACAATGCCTCGGGTATTTTTGGCCAACTGTTGCACTTTGGGATCCTCTGAATCGGTGGATTTGATTAAAATGAGCTTAGTAAGCAAACCACCCATGGAATGACCTATCCAAACGATAGGACGATCATTGCCCACATCAGAGGCCACAATCCTCTCCAACAAGGTGCTGGCTCTCACCTCAAACTTTCCCTGTCCTCGCTCGCAGGGACAATACTTGGTGAAGTTGGCTGACCATTCGGTCAGAGCTGAAGTGTAATCAATGCCAATGATCCTGGCATCGGGATAATCATCCGGCAGCCATTCCATGGGCCAGCAATTGGTATACTCGTCGCTAGTGTCCTGATTGAGCCACTCATTACCCGAAACACTAAAAGTGCCGGCACAATGTTCGCTGGCATTCAGCGGTATATCGGGATGAACCACTTCCCAATCGGCATCCAGCTCAGATCCTCGTAGTTTCTTCACAAACTCCATGGTGCCATCCCGGCCAATCTTTGGATGCTTTGGGGTGCTTGCCCTGACCACAGTTGTGGGAACCTGCTCCTCTGTTGGGGAATCTAAATTCCCGGAGGGTGTTTCATTAGATTCAATAGAATTGGTGATACTCTCATCGGTAGCCTGCTGTCGCCACTGCTCGGCAGTCACATACAAATCCTTGGATTGACTTGTGTAGAAAGCATTCTTTCCATAAATATTCAACTCCGTGGGCTTTCGATGACGCTGCCGCCAGGTGACAAAAACCCCGCCCATTAAACCATGGACAAAGATTATGTCCGCCTTTGGTTTGCGTCCAGTCCGGATGCGTGGATGCAGGGGATAGACATTCGGTGGATATATACACTGATTGGGATCATCACGATCTAGATTGGCCATTACCTTGGCCGAGATCACCTGCAGTCGGAGATCGGGACATTGCTGCCACTCGGCCAGGACACCAATCCAACCGGTGGCAAAGAAATGCTCCACAGCTGTGGGCACCACAGACATATTGGCCAGGACTTTGCACAGCGTGGACAGGGTCTCATTATCCTCATTGAAGATCTTCTTAAGCTCCATGAGATGTACTAGGCCGCCCTCCTTGATTATGTTTGCCGAGACATCATGATCTTTGCTAATGTGATGTAGAAAGGAGATGATTTCCCTGAGCAAATCCATATCTGCAGTGGACAGGACAATGGTTTGGTCCTGTGGCGTCTCCTCGGCAACTCCTAGCTGCTGCTGCTGCTCCTGTTGCAGCTGCTGTTGCTGTTGCTGTTGCTGCTGCTGCTGCTGCTGTTGCTGTTGCTGCTGCTGCTGCTGCTGTTGCTGGTCTGGAAAATACTTGGCAAAAAAGTGATCCACACAGGACAGAGGTCGCAGCTGGGAGAGCATTGTGTGCAGCTCGGACAGGAGCAGCTTGGGATTCTTGATGCAGCCACGACGATGGACAGGCATAAACCAACGAGTATCGGCCCCAGAACGGGCCAAAGAAACAGCCGTGCGAGCATCACAGATCTGTGCCAAATGCCGGAAATCCCAATCCTTGAGATGATCCATGCAAATCAGCTGCTGGACAGCCTTTAGGCGCTCCGATTGATTACCCATTTGGGCAATATTAAGGAGTCGCCAGGCCACCGAATGCTTGGCCGTTTTCCACCATTTGCCAATGGGATTTACGATGACACTGATCCACTTCTTGTCATCCTCCTGCTTCTGCTGCAGCTGACGCATGGACTCCCGATAGATGTGATACTTGATGTAGATGTATTCCGCCTGTCGCCGGGATGATTCGTCCTCCGATTTCCTATCCCCATCGCTGAGACGTTCCAGAAAGCGACGCATCTTGCCGGTATCCCAAAGCCAGAAACCGGTGGCGGTGACCAGGCTAACGCCACTGGCCATTAGGAGACGGGCGAGCCTGGGATGGCGGCGCCATTGGGTTCTCAGAGCCTTCAAGGACATGTCCACACACTCTCACACTCACATACACACACACACACACCACTCACACACCGTTCGCACAATTTGGACTTTGGATTTGTTGTGCAGACACAGACGCCGCCGCCCTCTGTTGTTTTTAATATTTCTTTTTTTTTTTTGTTAAAACGATTTATATCACACGACTGCTAGTTTGATTTATAAGAATGTTGACGGATTTTTAACTGGAAATTGATAGTTATCAAAGAGCCTGCTAGGTTTCTGGGAAAAGTCCTTCAATCTCGAAGTAATTAAAAAACTTTCCAACCCCAAAACAAAGAGGTGCAAAGGGCTAAACTCTTCCTTCTTCTTCCTTCCCAATTAAATATGCTAAAATCAAATCAAATATTTCGCACTGCAAAAAAAAAATATATATATAACAAAAAAATGAAGTTAAACATCCACCGATTTTAATAGAAAAAAGGGGGGGTGGTGCAGTAGGGGGGGCTTTGCGGCGGCAAACTTTACTGTCGCAATTAATAAAGTTTGCCCCCATCGAAGGGCGGCGGGAAAAAGAACACACGCAAAATTGCTGGCGAAAATTTACAACAAAAATAAAGCCAAGCATTGCAAGGATAAAGTGGAAAAGTAAAAGCCAAGAAATACCCTGTAAATATAAATATTTTAGGTATTTGCAAAGACACTCTGAAAGGTATTTCTCATTCCTTTTTTATTGCAAAAAATAAGGGGTAGAGAGATATTTAGTATGCTGTTCTTTAAATATATAAATAAAAAATTAAAATTAAATTAAATTAAAGCTTGAGGCTTTATAAAATATAATTAAGATAAAACAAAAAACAAATCTTACTTTGGCAAGTCAAAGCTTTAATTAAAAGTCAATATTTATGGATCAAATTTAGATGGAAAACTCAAAATTAAAAAAATCAATTTGGTTTGTAGTTTTATATTATTTTTTACAAGCCTTATAAATCTGCATAATCAATAAAAAAATTCAATTTTTTCCAAATTTTTGAAAATTTTAACGATGTAACCCCTTTCCTTTTTTTTTTTTTGCAAAAATGGAAAATTTGTGAAAATTTTATTTTTCTTTCGGATACGGCTAGAAAGATTGCCTGTTAATGCTGATTAATAATATATATGGTTTATAGGGTCGGAAATGACTGCTTGAGTTTGAAATTAATTTTTTTTTAATAAAACAGTAATAAATATATTTAATAAGATTCGGATCCTTGACACATAAGCCCTGACTAATCCACATCCCTGAATGTCCAGGGGAAGTAGCAACAGGACGAAGGAGGTGGAGGTGGAGCAGCCGGAAATGGTAGTCTGTTTACAGTTTTCGCAATTTTAAGCGAAAATCGCTGACGCAGCGTGTGTGACAGCTACAGCGGCCGCAGACCCCCGCCACGGCCCCTTCGAGTGCACGGGCGGCATGGCATCCCGGGTTGTCCTGAGTGTCTTTGCATAATTTTTTAGAGAACCGCACAAGGGTGACTTTAATGTCATCAGCGGTTGTCCTGCTCCTCCGGCGACTGCCGACAGCTGTCAGCGGATTTAATGTGCAGTTTTAATCAAATTCACATCAGGCTAGTTAGGCGAACGGGATAACAGGATGCTGTGATAGTTACCCAGATAGTTGTATCCTCTCCTCATTCCCAAAATTAACTCACACATATAACAAATCTGCTTGCAGATGCAATCTTTATTAAAATATATTTCTAAAAATATGTATTTAAATATATTTTTCTTTTTATTATTAGAAGTACATAAGGATGCCTTAAGGATAAATTCGATGAAGAACCGGCTTGTGTGTGCTCCTTGCGCCGTGTAATCCTGTATGGTGCAAAATGTGGTGAGTATATCGCCAGGAGATGTTGCCTGACGTGTTTTTCAAGCCTATTCCTTTTCCTTCCAGAGGCAGTGCATCGATTTGCCCCACATGAAGACCTCAACGACGACGTGGTCCAGAACTGGAATTACGACAAGGATTATATTGTATTATTATATATTTTATATATTAATTATGTATATTATGTATTTATTCTAATCAACAAAGAGAAATAAAATGTGTTTACAGAATTTCGTTTTTATATGGCTTCTACAGATATTGGCAGAACCGACAGAACGAAGCTGCACAATCTTCGAATCTAAATTTGGCAGTTAAAGTAATATATTTACTGTTTTTGTTTTTTTTTTTTTAAATATAAATTGTTGTTCTTGCTCTTGTTGTTTTTGTTTTGGTGGTTTTTGTTGTTGTAATGCGTGTTGTTGTTGTTGTTGTACATACTGTGTAAATCGTGTGGTTGTGTGTTGCAAACCAAGCCTTCGATGTGCTCGATTGCGCTTAATTTTCGGCCTGAAATACCAGGCGAACAGAAGGCAGCAGCAAGCAAATTTAATTTTCTGCAAAATAATTTTCACCCTAAAAGCATGCTACAGCGCACCCTAGAAGTATGCTACACATTTTTTTCAATTGCATACTATTGCATATTTTTGGCATTGCATGCTTTTGGGGGCACGGTGTAGCATACTTCTAGGGTGAAAATTATTTTGCAGAAAATTAAATTTGCTTGCTGCTGCCTTCTGTTCGCCTGGTATTTCAGGCCGAAAATTAAGCGCAAT